GGGCTGGAGAGATGGTTCAGTGGTTAAGAGCACTGGTTGTTCTTGCAGAAGACCTGAGTTCAAATTCCAGCGCCCACATGGCAGCTAACAACTGTCCGTAACTCCAGTCCCAGGGGATCTGACAGCCTCTTCTGTCCTCCGAGGGCATTGCACAACATAGGTGCACTTACCTACTTGCAGGGAATACACTCATACACATAAAAATAATATTTTTTAAAAAACCAAAATAAAAAAAACTTTAGTGTCCCTGTTTTTGTAAAATCTCAGTTTGGAGTGCTGGCCAGGAACTGAGCTTGTGGATGGGAAGGGGGCAGAGGACTTCCTGCCCCCTCCCATCTCTCCTGTACCCCCTTTTCCCCCTACCAGAGTGAGAGGGAATGAGGCCATCCATACTGGGTGGGGCTTGGTAGGGTGATCTCAGCTTGTAGTCCTGGCTGCCTGGCCAAAGACAACAGGGCCAACAGTGCTCAACTCAGGGCGCCCCTGTTCCCAGGAACTGGGTTTTGGCCTGGCCGCTGCCCCAGCTGTGTGAATTAGGTTTAACTTACGGTCCCAGGCCAAATAGTTTGACAGGGGAGGAGCAAGGCCTTACTTTGCTGAGCTGGAGTCTCGTAGTTCCTGAGTCAGCGCTTTTCCAGCACTGTGCTGTGTTCCTAGACCTGCATAGAAAGCTTTGGGGCCTCAGGCAGGCCCGGGGGGTCAGCTGGGGTACAGCCCAGGGCCCCGAGCAACAGTCACCTCTCCCAGTCTCTGTTTCCCTCACTGTGCTGCTCTGGGCCTTCCCATTTTCTGCTGAGATCACTCCTGGGGTGATCCCCTCCCTGCTCTCAGCCAGCTGTAGGGAGCCAGGACACCCAGGGGCCTTGTACTTTGGAACTGGCGATCTGTGGTGGTAGCTGGCTACTGGCACGCAGTGGTCTGGCACATGTGGGGCACTGCGACACCTCATTAACCAGCAGGAGACCCTTCCCTGCCCACTGTAGCCCAGTGTGCCTCCACCCGTGAGGAGGCCCAGGCCAGTAAATCACTGAACCCCAAATCCCTGCATGCCATATAAGAGAAGGCTGCAGAATCCCGCTTCAGGAGGCCCACCAACTCCCTGGAGCAGTGGATATGGTGTTCCCCTTTGTTTCAGTGACTTGTGTCTGAGGCAGGCTAACAACATGTATTGTTATTCTTCACTGGAGACCCAGGCCACCCAGGCTCTGGTTCTCATGGAACCCTAGCATCCTCTTCAGCTGGCTCATTCCTGAGCTGGGCCCCATGCTGTGAACCCAGCTCTTCATCTCATTTAGTCCTTTCTCTGATGCCACAAGGTAGAGTCATTATTTGAATTTTAAAGATGGAGACAGTGTACCTTAGATGCTAAGAAGTACAAATATTTATGTATTGTTTTAGGTTTTGAGGTAGCATCTTCTGTAGCCCAGGGTGGCCTCAGTATTAGCTGAGGATGACCTTGAGCTCCTGTGTCCACCTCCCTAGTGCTGGGATTCTAGGCTTGTAACACCACACCCAGCTGCTTGGTGGGGCAGGGAACACAAGTATAGAGTGTATGTGGAGGTCAGAGACAACTTTGAAGTTGATTATGTCCTTCTACCTTTATGTGGGTTCCAGGGATCAAACTTAGGTCTCTAGGCTTGTGCAGCAAGTGTCTCTATCCCCTGAGCCATCTCACTGGACCCTGGCCTAGTTTTTGTTCCTTGCTTTTTTGCAGTGCTGAGGATGGAACCAGAACCTTCCTCATGCTAGGCAGACATGCTACCCCTGAACTACATCCCTTGGGGTCTCGAATTCCAAAACGTGTGTTCTTTCTGGATGTCCTGGTCTAGGGAGAGGCTCCTTACTCTGTGATTTGGGCTCCTGCCCACCCTGAAGCCACTTGGCCCAAAAGGACCTGGTGGCAAGAACGTTGTTGATTAGCAGCTTCCTTCTGCCCGGCCTGTCTAGCCTGGTACCTAGAGTGCCAACTCCCCAGAGCATGGGGACTTTACATACAGGCTGGCTAGGGAGCAGTGACCACCGCCAGGACAGAGCCCCATGCCACCTCCCCAGCTGTGTGATGTGGTACAAGCAGGCCTTCATGAGTAGATGGTAAGGGCCACGTCACCGAGGGGTGTTGTGTACCCAGTATCTGCGCTTGCTGTCCTTCCCTTGGAGCTCCCCTCCCCACTCCTGTCTGTCAGTCCTCTACATCTGGCGATTGCATGTCAGCCCTCATGTGGTCAGGGCAGCTGGTGGAGTGTCTTTCCCAGGGGGTGCTGGAGCAGGCTGTGGGGGTTAGGACAGCTGGACAGTATTCCAAACAGGCCTCTGTCCATGTGGCTTCTCTGGCTTGTCCTTAGGAGCTTGGCAACTCTCTAGAAAATACTTAGTGGTCCTTAGAGGGCAAACCCACATGTGCATATTAGGTGAGGGACAAGGAGAGTGTCCAGATCCACCCGGAGAGGTAGCAGTGGAGCCACAGCTTCCCAAAGGCCCCCCCCGCCCCCGCTAGTATTCCTCAAAGGTGAGAAATTTTCTACTTCTGGCCACAGCGGAAGCAGCTTCTGAAGAGGCGTAGTTGTCAAGCAGGGTACAAATTAAAATGCTGTTACAGTCTCCAAAATCACAGGCCTTGAGTCAGGTATCTGGTCATTTATGTGGAAAACGACAGGCTAGGCCATGTCAGACATGCAGCTTCTTTGAATCCCAGGTTATGACTCTAGCTCCGACCATTGCACCTGCATCCCCGTCCCCAGGAAGAGAGCCACAAATATAGCTAAAACTAAATAGCACCTTTTAAAAATGTGTTTGAGTGTTTGCTTGTGTATTTGTAAGTGTACCTGTTTGTGCAATGCCTGTGGAGGCCAGAAGGTGTTGAACTGGAGTTACGGCCTGTTGTTAGCTATGGGTGCTGGGAATTGAACCTGGGGGTTGTTTCTAAGAGCAGCCAGTGCTGTTAACCTCTGAGCCATCTTTCTTGTCCCTACTGGTTTTTTGAGACAGGGTTTCCCTATAGCCCTACCTAGCATAGAGCTCCGCATATTGACCAGGCTGGCCTCAATCTCACAGAGATCCACTTGCCTTTGCCTCCTAAGTGCTGGGATTAAAGGTGTGTGACACCATGTATGGCCCCTTTTTTTTTTTTTTTTTTCCAAGTTTTGTGTGTCTTTGTGTATGCACATCCACAGTATACATGGAGAGGTCAGAGGATAAATTTCTGGAGTTGCTTTTCTCCTTCCACTATGGGTTTTGGGGATCAAACTGAGGTGGTCAGGCTTGCATAGCAAGTGCTTTTACCCAGTGAGCCATCTCATCTTACTGGCCCTAAATAGCATTTTTCTTCTTGCGTTTGAGACAGAGTTGAATGTAGCCCAGACTGGCTTCAAATTTGCTCTGTAACCAAGGCTAACATTGAACTCCTGTCTTTCTGTCTTAGCCTTCCAAGTGCTAGAATTGCTAACGGGCACCACCACCACATCCAGCTAATAGACTGTTACTACTGGGGAAATTCCAGGTAGTCTCTGTCACAGATGGCACAAGTCACTTTAATTGGGGTGGACAACAGCATACCACAGGGTTTGGGGCTAGAGCCTACCCAAGTCAGTGACTTGTTTAGAGAAGCGCTTAAGACCTACAAAAAGGGGAAGTGGTTTGTGGCACTTTTGCGGGCTTGTAGAACAAGAGATCAGCAGCCCTTTTCTGTAAGGGTTGGGAGTTGGTATTGTCAGCTCTGCGGACTTGATGGTTTCTGTTGCAACTGTTACAGAAAAGTGGCACATATGTGTAAATGAGTGGACTTGTTTCAATAAAACTTAGTTCATACAGGGAGGTGATGGGCCAGCTTTGGCTCCTGAGCTTGAGTTTGCCAACCCCCATTGTAGAAAATGAGTGAGAGCTAGGCAAGTTGGCACACGCCTTTAATCCAGTACTCAAGAGGCAGAGGCAGGCAGATCTCTGAGTTCGAGGCCTGTCTGGTCAGCTGGGGTTACAGGGAGACCCTGTCTCAAAAAAAAAAACAACAACCCAAAGCAGAAAATGAGTGAGACTTGCACATGGACCTGCCCCACAGATGCTGGGCAGATGGCAGCTGCTAGCAGTGCTACAGCTCACTGTGACCACTGTCTAAGGCACACAGTAGGTAGGTCATCAATGCTGAGCTGTGTCATGTGGGCTTGGTGGCTTGCATTGTGTAAACACCTGTGCAGGTCATGTGGGTGTAAGAGTCCACTCTCAGGCAGGGCTGCTGAACTGTCCAGATCAGAGGATTTTAGGAATTACAAACAACCTCAGGCCTAGAAATTCCAGACTGGTTAGAGCTCTACCCTCTCCTCCCTCAGGTTATGACTTTGCTGCTGTCCTTGAGTGGTTTGCTGAGCGAGTGGACCGCATCATCCTACTCTTCGACGCCCACAAGCTGGACATCTCTGATGAGTTCTCGGAAGTCATCAAGGCCCTCAAAAACCACGAGGACAAGATCCGTGTGGTGCTGAACAAAGCTGACCAGATTGAGACGCAGCAGCTGATGCGTGTGTATGGGGCCCTCATGTGGTCTCTGGGGAAGATCATCAACACCCCTGAGGTTGTCCGGGTCTACATTGGCTCCTTCTGGTCACACCCACTGCTCATCCCTGACAACCGGAAGCTCTTTGAGGCAGAAGAGCAGGACCTCTTCAAGGACATCCAGTCTCTGCCCCGAAACGCTGCCCTCAGGAAGCTCAACGACCTGATCAAGCGAGCCAGGCTGGCCAAGGTAGACCCTGAGGCTGCATGTAGGGACTGGATGCTGCGGGTAGACCCAGGGCTCTGGGACTGGCACTTGGGGCCTCGCTTGCCAAGCCCACATCCTTTTGCCTGTGTGTGGAAACCACTGCTCCCTGTGCCCTACTCTATAGCCTGCTCTTGACTATGGTTCTTGACGTGGGCTCCTCAGCCTGTTCTCTCTGGGGTTTATGCCCCACCTAAGTCAAAGACAACTCAGAACATGCATATAGCTTAGAAATATCAAACAGGAAGTCACCCCAAGAGAAAGGAGGCCATTCCGGAAGTGGAATGTGCTAGGCTGCTTCCCCTCTGGCATTTTTTTGTGCACTGAGTATGCTCAGCTTAACTGTGAGGACTCATGGGGGTCAAGAGTGACACACACACACACACATACCCCTCCACAATGCACAGAGGAAATGCAAATGTTTATTTGGTGTGGCAGGGTTGGCACATGTAAGCTGGGAAGTGGCTGGTAAAGAGATGGGTGGCAGCTTGTGACCCAGAGAGAGGTGGGTGCTGAAGTCCTGACCTTGAGCGGCAGCAGCCATCCGTACAGACCGTGACACATCCCCAACCCCCTGTGGGAGCACGGGCCCCCCTGGTGCCTAGCAGCAGCTTCTGAGGTGCTGAAGCCCTTGGAACCTTATTGGTGGCTAAGATGTGAGAGCCTGGGCTGACCAGACTAGGAAAGGAAGGTCAGTGCCACCAGTAGGTCCTGCACACACACCAGCAGAGTGTCCCTCAGGGCATCGGAGTGGCTGCATCATGGGTTTCCTAGATAAGTTATTGGAGGGACTGTCCCAGTACTGACTAGGGTTGACCCTTTGAACATGAAGGCTTGACATGGAGTTGGTAGCGGGCAGTGACCCAGTGCAGATACTGTTGGCAGGCCTTTGACCCTTCAGACACTCAGCACAGGGATCACTTGTTTCAAAAATGGACTCTTAAGCAAGTGCAGTGACAGGACAGGCCTCTGGTAGTTCCTCTGGTAGCTGAGGCAGGAGGATCCCTTGAACACATGCTTTGAGACTAGCCTGGACAACATAGCAAGACCTTGTCTCAAAACACAACACAGGGCTAGAGAAATGACTCGGAGGTTAAGAGTTCTGGCTGCTTTTGCAGAGGACCCAGATTTGGTTCCCAGTATCCACATGGGGGCCCACAACCACCTGGCAGTCCAGTTCCAAGGGATCTAATGCCTTCTGTCTTCCTCAGGTACCAGGCACACACATGGCACACATACATACTTGCAAACACAGATACACATAGAATAAAAGCAGAGCCAGGCCACACCTTTAATCCTAGCACTAGGGAGGCAGAGGCAGACAGATCTCTTTGGGATGGAGGCCAGCCTGGTCTACATACCAAGTTCCAGGCCAGCTGGGGCTACAGGGAAATATCACACACATTCTAGTTTTATTCAGTCAGAAGAATGAAACTATGTTGTGTGCAGAAAAATGGATAAAACTAGAGATCATGTACTAAATAAGATAAACCACACCCTTAAAAACAAAACAGCTGGGCGTGGTGGTGCCGCCTTTAATCCCAGCACTTGGGAGGCAGAGGCAGGCAGATCTCTGTGAGTTCAAGGACAGCTGGGGCTACAGGGAGACCCTGTCTCAAAAAGACTGAAAAAAAAAAAAAGATTGTGGTCCTCCCTCAAGAGGCGTCACAGCTTAGCTCAAGTGAACCATCCTGTAAGCCAGTCCATCCGGTTTTGATGTGTCACCCATTTTCTAGGGAGGTGGCTCAAAGGGCAGGGTGTTTGCAGCTGACTAGGGCACGTGGAAGAGGAGCAGGCACTGAGTGGTGTCATTTCTTCAGCAATGCTGTGCCTGTAGCTAGTGACAGTTGCCTGAAGGCCATGAAGGCACCTTCTAGGAGCCCTATCCTAATGCCTCAGGGCCAGTCCTGGACATTTAGGGGTTCCCTGGCCCGAGCAACCAGGGCTGACCTTCATCATTTGCTACTCAAGTGTCCACCTTGCCGCTCAAGTGCCCTGGCTGGCAAGGTGGCAGCTTATTAGTGTGTAGACTGTCAGTAGCTCCCATCAAGCTGTGTGACAGTGGGTCAGGCACCTGCTCTGCGGGGTGCAGGGCTGTTTTACATTATCCCCAACTTTATTTTATTTTTCTGGTGCTTTTGAGACAGGGTCTCCCTGTAGCCCCAGCTGGCCTGGAACTCACTCCGTAGACCAGGCTGGCCTCCAACTCACAGAAACCTGCCTGCCTCTGCTGGGATCTAAGGCATGAGCCACCACACCCAGCATTATCATCAACTTTCTAGCTGTCTAGTGCCTCCCTGTGTAGTGAGCAGTTCTGACCTGAGAAAGGAACTCATGAGAATGCCTGTGTGTCTGAAAGGACCCAAGGCAGCCTGAGCTAAAGCCCCTGTCGGAGGTGGAGAACTCCCTGGCCACAGGCCCTGAGTCACCACACCTGGAAAACCCCAAGTTCTCCAGTGCAGTCCATACTGTTCCTCTGCTGCCACTTCCTTTTCCTGGAGTGAATGACTCTCTGGCTTGTGTGGGCAGAGCTTTGACTGACTTTCTGTGACCCACTGACTACCTAGATGCCTACCCTTGTGAGGTTCTGGGCCTGACTGATGTAGGCTGAGTAGGGAGCAGTCCATTCTGTGGAGGAAGTTGGGAAAAGCTTTCATGGAACTTTGTAGTCCTTAGTCACCCAGGCCTATTCTGATGACATGTAGCACATTGATCAGACCAGATTCAGCTTGGGATTCACCCTGAGCACTGTACACAGGTCTGAGCTTCAGGTAGAAGGTCCTGCCTGGTTCTCTGTGCCCCTGCAGAGTGTCACCCCTGCTGTGGGAGGGCAGCTTGGGAGAGCATTGTCGAAAGGGGCAGGACAGCGTCATGGGCCACTTTCTGTGGCCCCAGTGCTAAGCTCTTGGGCAAGCTCTTGCCCTCAGAGGCTTACTCTGTGTGGGAGAAATGTGTAATGCCTGGTGTGCTCCTAAGTGACTTTCTCATGTTGACAGGCTAGAATGTCACCCTAACTTGTGACTTGTGTAAGGATGTCATCTGTCTTTTGTTCCCAGTACCCGTTCCTTTCCTTTGGCCCCATGGCAGTGAGCTGTCAGAATTATGTGTTACTATTAGGCTATTGGATTCCTGTGGCGGCAGTTTCAGGTACCTGGTAGTGGCTGCAAACGCCGAGGGCAGTGTGCCGAAGCAAGTCTCTGATGCCCCGCCCTCGTCCTTTCAGGTCCATGCCTACATCATCAGCTCCCTCAAGAAGGAGATGCCCAATGTCTTTGGGAAGGAGAGCAAAAAAAAAGAGCTGGTGAACAACCTGGGTGAGATCTACCAGAAGATTGAACGGGAGCATCAGATCTCCCCCGGCGACTTCCCAAGCCTGCGCAAGATGCAGGTACAACCATTAGGCCAACCTAGGCCACCAGGAGTGCCAATGTGGGCCTGAGGCAGACTCAGGGCACCAGGGCAGGGATTTTGGAGGGAATCCCAGATCCATAGGGCAGGGCCTCCCCAAACGGAAGCAGTTGGGTTAGTCACCGGCTCCCCACCCGATTCTGAGTTGACCCAGGTCGAGACAGTGACTCAGCTGGGGGTTGGGGGAAGGGCTGCTGATGACTCTTCACAGCATCCCTGCAGGAATGGTGCCCCCACGACCTCTTGTGCACAGGGCGTGTGGCCCAGGCTGGCAACTGAGAGCTGGTAATGGGAGCCCAGCTGTCCTTGCTTGGGCAGCCTAGCTCAGCCCACTATGCCCAGTCTGAGAGGCTGCCCCACCCAGGCCTCCCTCCTCTTCCATCCACAGGAACTCCTGCAGACCCAGGATTTCAGCAAGTTCCAGGCCTTGAAACCCAAGTTGTTGGATACGGTAGATGACATGCTGGCTAACGACATAGCCCGGCTGATGGTGATGGTTCGCCAGGAAGAGTCCCTGATGCCCTCGCAGGCTGTGAAGGGTGGCGCTTTTGATGGCACCATGAATGGGCCCTTTGGGCATGGCTACGGTGAGGGGGCTGGCGAGGGCATCGATGATGTTGAGTGGGTGGTTGGCAAGGACAAGCCTACCTATGACGAGATCTTCTACACACTGTCTCCGGTCAATGGCAAGATCACGGGCGCCAATGCCAAGAAGGAAATGGTAAAGTCCAAGCTGCCCAACACAGTGCTGGGCAAGATCTGGAAGCTGGCCGATGTAGACAAGGATGGCCTGCTGGATGATGAGGAGTTCGCCCTGGCTAACCATCTCATCAAGGTGAAGCTGGAGGGCCATGAGCTGCCCGCTGACCTGCCCCCACACCTCATCCCACCCTCCAAGCGGAGGCATGAGTGATGCCTCGCCTGACCCCCAGGGCTGCTGGCACTTGCTGCCCACCAGCTTCATGTCTGCCTGGTAGGCCAGGGCCTGGGAGGCAGAGATTGAGGGAAGGGAAAGGGTCATCATTTTTCAAGGTCCATAAAGACTGAACGGTGTTTCCTCAGCTCTCGAAAAGGAAAACCACCATCTTTTAAGGCTGTTCTGGGGTTCATCGGGAGGCAAGGGTGATGCTTGGATGTGAACAGTGGAATTTTGTGCACAAGAACCATGGATATTTTTAATACATAACATTAGAGGCAGCCTTCTTTCTTACCTCCTCCTCTGTCTGACTGCCCCACACTCACACAGCCTCCCTTCCCCATTTTAGCCTTGCCTCCTGTCCTGCCCTGGCTGGGCATGGGGTGATCCCAGGGAGCCAGGTTTCCCAGCCCCCACTGGCTCCCCCATTTGTCTCCAGGCTCACGCTTGCCCCAAGGGGCAGTTGAGCTCCTGTGCCCAGCTGAGCTGGTCCGTGCCTCTGCTGAGCTGGTCTGGGGTCCCAGTGTACACCCTCCTTTTGTTCCCACACCCCTCCTGTGACACCCGACCCAGCACAGCAATCACAGGTAGAAGTCGGTCACTGTTAACCTCCCTGAGGGTGGGAGGGATGAGGGGGTCTTCCAGAAAAATACATAAGCTAGGTCTTGTCCTGTAAAGCGACACTTCATACTTGACCGAAATTTCTGGTAACTTCTACAACACTTGTTCAAAAGCTGTGATTTTTGTCTCCCCTTCCCCATATTCTAGCCCCAGGGCAGCTCCACCCTAGAACCAGCATGGAGCACCCTGCTTTCTGGCTGAGGGATGGGTCATCTCAGCTCCTGCCCCAAAGGGTCTGAATGGACCCCCTTCAACCGCCATGGCAGCTTCCTGGAACGCCCCCGCCCTTGGGGCAGGCGGTGGGCCCAATGACCTGGGGTGGCTCTGGCTTGGGTGTAGTGTCGATGCAGCAGGGACAAGGGACAACCCAGCCCCTTCCCTCCTCATCCCCCATTTCCTTCCTTCCCTTCTCCCCTGCTGAGCCAAGGAAACCTGGGTGTCCTGAGATCCACCCTGCAGCCCCCAGACTGAGCATTAAGAAGCCAGAGCCAGCGAGTAGCTGTTTTAGCCTCACTGCAGCTTTGGGGACCTGGGGGCCTAGACACTCTGTGGCCAGTGGTTGGTGTCGGGTAGGTTTCCTAAGAGGCAGGTGGAGCGGCCGCATCATCAGGCTCTTCTGGTGGGCTTCAGGGAGCTACCTGCCTCCCCCAGTGCTGGTCTGGGCCTTGCTGGGGTTGAGTCCGGCCTGGTCTGCTACCTCCCTGCCTCAGCCCTCTACCACTGTGGTCAGCTGTGGGTGGGCGAGACACGTCCTCACAGGTTCACTGTTTAAAGGTCAGCTCCCTTGTTCACTCACCTTTGAGGGGAAGTGACAGAGTGAAGACTGTTCGTCTCATTAAAGAAAGTTTTAATTGTGCCAAAGCTTCTCGTGCTCCCTTGTGTTTTCCTGGGCCAAGGGGGCACCAGCAGAGCCTTTGGGGAGCTCATCCTTGCCCAGTCACCCTCAGCTGCTCCCGTCAATAGTCCTGCAGATGGGAGAAGAGGGAAGGGGGTCTCCCAAGGAGCATGAGTCACTCCTCCACCTGCCTTGTGTTATGTCAGACTGTATCTGGAGGCTGGACTTGGTGGCACATGCCTATAGTCCTAGCACTTGGGAGGTGGAGGCAAGGAGGATCCAGAGTTCAAGGCCAGCCTGGGCTATATAGTTCTAGGTCAGCTTGGGCTACATGAGACCCTGTCTCCAAGAAAATTAAGACAGGTTCTTGAGGTGAGAATGAAGCAGTGGAAGGCATTAATGGGGCTGGTCTGGCTTCTGCCACCTTTCCCCCACCCCCAGACTGCCTCAGCCACAGATAAATGAGTGGGCTCCTGTCCTTGGAGCCTAGGCAGGGGAGAGCTCTTGTAAACAAAGGTTTCAGGGCTCCTGAGCCAGGCAGCTCCTCACTTGCCCTAAGGCACTTATGGAGACAGAGCTCTGCAGACAGACAGCAGACACTGGAGACAAAATCCAAGTTCTGGGTGGGGCTGGTTAGAGCCAGCTGATGTCACAGATAGGGGGCCTGTTTATAACAGGAGAGGAAAGGAAGACAAATTGGGAGTGACATGCCCAGAGGGGTGTGGAGGATCCTAGGTACACCTGGGGAGAGGCTGCCCCAGGCAAGCTTTAAACAGGTGTTTATCTGAGACCCAAAGTTTGCTGCAGGGTCCAGCTGCTGTGGCCTTAGCAGGTCTGGTGGCTGGGATCTGAGTCTAAGCTTGCCACTTGCCTCTTGTATGGGTGTACCTCATGCAGGGTTCCCCTGAGCTCTCTATCCTGGAGTTCTGTGTTCTCCCCATTTCACAGAGGGAGAGTCCAGGATGGGGCAGCACCAAGAGCAGTGGTAGCCAATGAGATCCTAAATGTCAAACAATTCCCATGTGGTTTCCATAGGGATTCTCATGGGACATACCCCCCTCCCCGCTTTTTCTTTTTTTGGTCTTTTTGAGACAGGGTCTCCCTGTAGCCCAGGCTGTCCTGGAACTCACTTTGTAGACCAAGCTGACCTTGAACTCACAGAGATCTGCCTGCCTCTGCCTCCTGAGTGCTGGGATTAAAGGCCTGTGCTGCCACAGCTGGTGGAAAGCCCCCTTTTAAAAGTACTGGATCCCCACCCCACCCATCACTGCCACAAGAGGCTCAGGCTAATGTCTCAAAGTTGTCACTCCACTTGAGGGTCTTAGAAGCTTGGGGCCACCTGCAAGCTTGCAGAGGTCCCCCAGAGAACTGCCCTGTGCCTGCTGAAGCTGTCAGCGCACCAAAGAGGACAAACTCAAGGAGCTCCTTTGCAATCTGTGCCTGTATTTGGGCCCCCCTTCACATGCTGCAGCATCCCATCTGCTCAACACTCCCCTCTATGTGATGATCCAAGGGCAGCCCAGGCAGTACACACTGAAACTGGACAAGAGGTTTGCTCCCAACCTGACTGCTGCCCCTGAATTCAGATAGTGGGTCTGTTTCACAAACCGAGCTATGGTGGGGTCCAAGGAGAGCCAATGGGAATAGTTAAAGATGGGGCTGGCCTCTGCCCTTTGCCTCCTTTCCAAAGCCCCAGACCCAGCAAGGATCAGGTCCTCTCCCACCCTGCTCCCAAGCCCTAGGATAAGAGGTCTTCAGGACAGTCTGTCCCCATCCTAGCCCACAGTACCACCCAGCCCAAGACCCAGGAGGCACAGGGCCCACCCGCTCCCTCTGAGTATGCATACTAACCAGATGGTGAGGTGAGGTTCCCTACATGATCTTTTTTTTTTTTTTTTTTTTTTTTTTTTTTTTTTTTGACGGGAGACAGGGTCTCCTTGTAGCCCCAGCTTGGATCCTGCTATGTAGACCATGCTGACCTCGATCTCAGAGATTGACCTGCCTCTGCCTCCTGGATGCTAGGATTAAAGACGTGCCACTACAACCAGCACATGATCATTCTTACCATACCACAGTCTGGCCGGTCATAGGACTTGCCCAAGGCCAGTAAGTTTCAAAGTTTGGACTGGAGAAGATGGTTCAGTCAGTAAAGTGCTTTACTTGCAATTATAAAGATTGGAATTCAATCCTAAGAACCTACCTAAAAACACCAGTATGGTGTTACATACTTGTAGTCTCATCTCAAGGAGTCAGGGATGGGCAGATTGCTGGGACCAGCTTAGCCTACTTGAGTTTCAGGCTAGTGAGAGACTGCCAAAAGAGATAAGATGGACAATGCCTGAGGAACATTTTAATACCAGTTTGCACGTGCATGTGCACCCAAATACACATGTACCTCTGCGCACACCCACAAGCTTCAAAAGCTTGTATGTATACTATTCATGAGACACTGGGTTTGGTGATCCCCAGCACTGCAAATAAGAAAAAGCAGCTGGCAGCAGCCTTGATCAGACAACCCCATGTTCAAATCCCAGCTTTGTCGCTTGCTGTCGTCCAGCCTGGCTTTTGCCTCCTAAACCTGTTCCCTCAGGTCCCAGTAGCCTGTCTTCAATGGCCTCCTTTCCTGAGCACTTTGGGTAGGGGTGGCTAGTCAGAGGGGGCTGAGGGTGGGGTGCAGGGAGCATGGTCCCCCACCCAACACCAGAACAAAACAGGGGAGACCCACCCTTCCCTGAAGCAGCTCACAGACTGGGTGGCGCCCCTGGATGGGAGGGGTGCAGGCCAAGGGGGCTTGGGCCTGGCTTCCTGTGCACCCACAGAGACTGCTAATTGTAAAACCACATGGGCTGCAGCTGAACCGAGCGTGGGAGCCCCTGTGGTGAGCTGGAGCAGCACGGGAAGATTTTGGAAGAAAACCCAGAATGACGAAACCACCATATGTCCATCCGTTTGGAGTCTTGGCCATTTCACAGGAAACATCCATGGGATATTAGGGAGGCAGGGAAGTGGTGTGGGGGCTGACACGCATTAGGATTGGGGAGCTCTCCATCAGGCCCTCCCCTGAAGTATTCCCAATAGACATCTTCAAACAAGACCTGGTGCCTCAGCAGAGAACAGGGGTACTCACCCCATCTCCTACCACATGCCCCCCTAGGCTCTTCTTAGAAATGTTAGGCCAGTGAGATACACAGGGTACCTCAGTTTCTGCCACACTCAAGCCGTAGCCTCCATCCACTACACACAAAAAGTGTTCAGAGAGCGGACAGGATTGTCTGAGGCACTATGCCTGGGCCACAGCAGTCCCACAAGACCCTCACAGCCAGCATCTGTCCCTCCCCAGCAACCTGGGGTAGAAGTGGGCAGCATGCTTCTTGAGTGGCTTGGGACAGTGGTGGCCATCTTGTATTAGGCTTGCAGGTCCAATGCCTTTGAGCTACTTCCAAGACCAGGACTGGGAGACTGAGCCACTCCATGAGGCTGAGTTTGAAGTTTAGAAGGAAGAACCCCAAGTCTGGGCTCAGGAGACCCGATATGTGACCACAGGATTATAGTTCCTCCAGTCTGTCTTGTGTCTGGGTTCCTTCCAGGTGCAGAGGGGTCAGAAATCCTAGCCCCTTTCCCTCTGGCTTTCTCCCCACTAGGAATGTTCTGCTTCTCCTGGGCCTGGGGCTCTGAGTTGATGGCCTCCTTTCTTCATCCTAAGCATATAGTATTACAGAAGCGTACTCCATCATCTCTGTCTGGCCTTGCCTCGTGCCCCATGGTACCCTTCTGCTGCCAGACAATAGCCTATCTAGGCCAGACACCCAGGGATGCTGGCAGGGGGAGGGCCACAGAAGGAACCCAGGCCTGGCTGTCCCCACCTCCTGGCCTCAGTGTGTCAGTCTGTGAAGGAGGGGGATAATAACACCCCTGGCAAGGCTCTTGTAGAGATAAGAGATCTGAGGCTACTTTGTAATGCCAAGATGCTCCTAAGAAAGCAGGGTGTTATCTATCACCGGAGCCTCTCCCCTGGGTTGGTGCCAGCACCACCAAGCCACAGAATCTCGGGAGGCAAGAGAGGGCTGCAGGGTAGCAGGTTCCTCCTGCAGACCTGGTTGAGCCTCTGGAAGACAATGACCATGCAGGAGGCCTTTCAATGAGGATGCTCTGGGAAGAGGGGCAAGAACTAGTGGCCTGACTGCTCAGACTGGCTGGGGCTGAGGCTCTGGGGTAGACAGACTCATCCACTGGGCTGGGCTATCAGCCAAGTACAGGGTTTAGTAGGGAGCAAAGCCAGGCCTCTATGGTCCTATGGGCTGGGGGCCTGGCTCACTGGCGATCAGAGAACAGAATTGCTAGGACAAAGAAAGTGTCTAGGAATTTAATTTTTTTTTTTTTTTTTTTTGCTGGATGTGGTGGCACACGCCTTTAATCCCAGGTGAGGGAGGCCAAGGCAGGCAGATCTCTGTGAATATGAGGCCATCCTGGTCTACATAGCAAGTTCCAGGCCAGCTGGAGCTACAGAGAGACCCTGTCTCAAAAAGACCAAAAAAAAAATTATTATTTTATGTGTATATCCTGCATGTGTATAAGTGCACCCATGTCCTGTGATGTCCATTGATGTCAGAAGAGGGTTGTCAGATTCCATGGAAATGGAGTTACTGATGGTTGTTAGCCTCCATTGGGTTCTGGGAATCAAACCTAGGTCCTCTGCAAGAGTAGCCAGTGCTCTTAACCACTAAGCCATCTCTCCAGCCCCTGTCCAGGAATTTTTGTAACTGTCAGAGCTGGAGGCCTGGCTACTTATTGAGGCTGGAACAGAGTCTGGCAGAAAGTGAGCCTTTAAGGATTTTCTGACATTCACGAGGGACCAGGAAGTCATTTATCCAGACGAGGAAGCAGCAGCTTACAAAAATGTCAAGACAACCTGGGCGTGGTAGCGCATGCCTTTAATCCCAGCATTCGGGAAGCAGAGGCAGGCAGATCTCTTTGAGTTCAAGGCCAGCCTGGTTTACATAGTGAGTTCCAGGACAGCTGGGGCTACAGGGAGACCCTGTCTCAAAAAGACAAAAAAAAAAAAAAAAAAAAAAAAAAAAAAAAGTCAAGACAAAAACTAACATAGGGAACTGGGGATACGGCTCGGTTGGTTTAGGGCTTCCCTAGCATACAGGAAAACGTGGGTTTAATCCCCAGCAACCACATAAATCAAGTGTGGTAACACATACCTGTAAGCCAGCACTCAGGAGGTGGAAGCAAGAGGATCAGAGATTCAAAGTCATTCTTGAAGTGCAACCCAGGACTGAGTTTCAAAACAGAAAAAAGAATTGGGACCTAAAAGAATTGGGTTTGGAGTGCCCAATTCTAATATGAGTCCCAGATCTGCCCTATGAGTCACTAGACTCAGTTTCCCCTCTGCTGTGGTATGGGTTGAACACTGACCTGACTGAGGTTAGGCTTTTCTCAGAATATTCAGCATTCAGAGATGTTAAGGGATGACCAGCTTGGTGGCTGGCACACCTTTAATCCCAGCACTTGGGATGGCCAATACAGGTGGATCTGTGTGAGTTCAAGGCTGGCCTAGTCTACACAGTAAGTTCCAAGCCAGCCAGGGACGTATACAGTAAGATCTTGTCTCAAAAACAACAAACTGTAAAGAGGGGTTAAGGAACTTGTGGGGATGACATAGGGAGTGAGTCAAGACCTGAAGCTTGGGCAGTTGACTGCTGATCAGAGGGCAGCAGATCTTGGCTCCAGGACCTCTAATTCACCCAGAACTTGCTGGCACGGCTGACATCTGCTTCTCCTCTGGTCTCTGGTGCCCTCTTGTGGATTTTTCTTACCTCCTGTGGGCCCCATCCTGCCACGCCCCTTGAAGAAGGACTCTGAGTCCCTCAGGTGACAGCCAGCCAACTCTGTCAATGTCAGTCTGTCCTGTCATCTCAGGGAAGTGAGGCAGTAGAATCAGGAGTCCAAGGTCATTCTTGGCTACATAGTAAATTCCAGGACACATTGGGTTATATGAGACCTTGTATCAAAAGAGAAAAACATAGGGGCTGGAGAGAGGGCTCAATGGTTAAGAGCACTGGCTGTTCTTGCAGAGGACCTGGGTTCGAATCCCAGTACCCACATGGCAGCTGAGAACCATTCGTAACTCCAGTTTCAGGGGATCCAATGCCCTCTTCTGTCCTCTGAGGGCACTGCATGACACAGGTGCACTTACACACATGCAGGCATAACACTCATACACATAAAATATAAATAAATTTTAAAGGAAAACAAAATCTAAACTCTTGCCCTTCCCTGGCTCCTTTGGAGCAGGGCTGAGGATCTCCAAGTAGGAGTTTGAATCCTGACTCTCCCTCCCAGCCTGAGTGACCTAGTAAAGTAATAGATTTACACACTTCCCCCATTTCAGGACTTCTACCGGGAAGGGACTCTGCCGAGATCAAACTCGATCACCTCGGTGTGTCTAAACACGTTTTTTCACTCGTTCATTCAACTTGGCTCTGCAAATATCCAGAGTGCTTCCTCCCTCCTCAATACTGGGACTGTGACCCTGTCCTGTGTCCAGTTCCCAGTCTGGAAGTAGGGGTGGAGAACAAGCCCCCAAACAGGTCTTCTGATGAAAGAATGTGTTGTCAAAAGACATCAGAATGCCCTTCCCTTTGGTCTTTGCTTCTGGACAGACCCAGGGTTCCAAGGCAACAGGGCAGGCACAGCTGGACGCAGCTGGGTACAGCTGGGCAGAGATTAGAAACCTCACTGAACAGCCCCTCCCCTCTCCCGGCCTCCTTCAGCTCATCTTGGACTGTACATTTCAGGTCAGGCCTTAAAAAGTGGTACCAGGGCTTGGAGAGATGGCTTTATGGTGAAAAGCCAGTCCTCTTACAGAGGACCCAGGTTCGATTCCCAGCACCCACACAGTGGCTAACAATTGTCTGTAACTCCAGTGCCAGGGGATCTGACGCCCTCTTCTGAACTCTGAAGGCATTGCACAACACTGGTGAACTTACATACATGCAGGCAGTACACTCATACACATTTAAAAAAATAAATAAAAATTTTAAAAACTGGTACGACCCAGGCTCACACGAGTGTCTAGTTTGCTCCTCCCCTTCTCAGCTTCTCGATTGCCTTTTGCTCTCCCAAGTCTCAGTGTATCCATCTGCTAAGCGGGTATGCCTATCCCAACCTCACCTACCTATCTTTAGGTTATCTTTAACGATTAAAAAAAAAGTAAGATTATAAACTCTGGGGGCAGCAGAGGGGGTTTTGACTAGCACGCAGGGCCAACCCGGGAGAGAACGGACTACAACTCCCATCCGGCTCCGGGGCCGAGCCGTCCGCAGCCCCTTCGGCCCAGCCAAGGGAAACGTCGTCGCCGGCCAGGGCGCCCGGGAAGTTGCAGGGCACGCCCCATCCAATTAGGACCGGAGAAGGGTCTGGGCAGGGCTGGGGTAGCACGTGGGTCCGATCGAGCTTCTGCGACCCTAGGGGATCCCCCCCACCCCCTCCACCTCCAGCCCCGCCCAGGGGTTACTCTCCGGAGCCCGCCCCCCTACTTCCTGGCCGGGATGGCCTCAGCCCCC